GAAATTATGGGTGATGAATGAATATGGGCTGAATACAGAAGTTAGTGACCAGTACAAATGAAAGATATTGAGGTGGTTTGGTCACAAGGAGAGAATAAATGAGGACCAAACTGCAAAACAAACATATCAAGGAAATGTGAATGGTTTGTGAGGAAGCTTAAGACTGAAAAAGTCATGGCTGGTGGAGTTGATTGAGATCCTTAAAAAGAAAGAGGTGAAAAGTTTAAAGTACAAGAGATAATGTATGAGTCAATATATGGATGTGGTGGAAACAAATACGGTGTGCAAAGAAAGAAAGCCATGAAGAGCCATAGTTAATGGTGTGAACTAGAGTTACGTTTAGGCCCTTCTGCCTTCTAAATGTTTTTGGGGTACAGAATTCCAGTCAATTCTGTAAGTGGCATTAAAGTATTGGATTCAATTCTTGCACAAGAATGATAATAAGGTTTAAAAAGAAAATTTGCACTAGTTGGATGGAACTCCCCATAAAAACATGACAGATGTAAAGAAGATATTTTGCCTTTTCTCCAACCTTCAGGGAAAAAAAACAACAACAATCTTAATTAAGCTTCCAAAGGTCAGGAGGGAAGCAAGCAACTTTGTCAGAGATTTAGAATATCATGGAAAGCGTTCCTCATACAGTATTTCTGTATTAATCTGCACTTCCTTCCCGCTATTGGCATGAGATAGCTCAATCACTTGCAACAGTATAATTATGCTTCAGATTTCTTGGTGACACAGAAGAGCTCAAAAAGAAAAGTAAAATTAAAGAAATTACTTCTGAGTAATGTGTGAAAGGCAATGTGTGAATGCAGATGTTTGGCTAGCCCTCCTGGGAGCCTTTTCAGAGAAGATTTGTAACTGAATTTGACAAGAGGTCTCATATCTTTATATCTTTATGATCCGGTTCATAACCCGAGGCGGAGTTCGCAAGCCAAGGTAAATTTTTGCGGCTGGAGCTGGTCGTAACCCGAAAAGTTCGTTAACAGGGGCGTTCGTAAACCGAGGTACCACTGTACAAACCTGCATCCTTTGTGTGATGACCTCATGATTCACATGTTTTCATTCTGATCTCACTCTGTCTTGCTACAGATGGATCTGAGTTAAGGGACATTCAAAATCTTTCCAATGAGTTGGAGGAATTTCAGGAATTATGTTTAAATGGGATCTTTTTAAAATGTAAAAAGTATGGTTTAACCATAATTGGAAAATCCTATACTCCAGCATATACCTTTTCTATACTGGAAACTTAGGAAAATCAATATTTGATTAACATAATATAAAATATCTAACTGGGTGGAGATAGATAATTTATTTCTCCTATTTAATATCTCCTTCTACTAGTCAGCAAATAATTATTTGGGTTTGGAAAGAAAAGCTTTAATTGTTTTTAAAGAAACAACTATGATTTTACATATTATAACATATGCAGGCATATATAATATACTTATCAATTAACTATACATATGTAGAAGATCTTGATGCTTGGAAAAAACAAAATCAGTTGAAAAAGAGGCCAACAAAGGATGAGTTGGTTAGACACAATCATTGATGACACAGCATGAGCTCACAAGAACTCTAAGGAACAGTTACTAACAGACAACCCTGGTGAAATAATGTCCATTGGGCCACTAAGAGTTGGAAGTGACTGAAAGACGGGAAACACCTGTGCAAAAGTGCAATGGAAGGATTGGTTTTAAAAAGATCTGTGCCAATGTGTAACTGCTGCAGGTTCATGCTGGCATGCCAAAATTTCACTTTCCATAGATGTCTCTGATTTTGAAAATATTCAACATTTAACCATTCTCCTGCTTCTTAGAACATAAAGGAAGGTACTAATAGTTTATAATCAAACTGTAGCCTGCTCCTATGTCCATGTACTCAGAAGTACATCTCATTAGGATTTACTTCCAAATATGTTTAGAACCCTGATCTACTGTAACTTACAATGTATTTCATTGATCTCAAATTTTGCCAGATTTTATACAGACAGTCCTTGGATTATGACCATTTGTTCAGTAACCATTCAAAGCTACAATGGCGCTGAACGAATGGTACTTACAACCAGTCCTCAGAGTTCTGGCCATTGTAGACAATTTCCTACAATTTCAACTTTCTTATGAATTGTACCCTGTTCCTGAGAAATATTGGCTATTTATTATTTTTACTAGACTGTTTTTTACCTTGCCTGCTACTCTTAAAATTGGAAAATGTCTTCATCACTCAACCTGAAAAATACAAGGTAATATTTATGTATTCAGGTGACAGCTCACTTATACTGTAATAAGAGGGGTAGTGGTAGCAGGGTGTGTTAAACAAGCTATACAGCGAGAGCCAGTTTGGTGTAGTGGTTAAGGCACCAGGCTAGAGATCAGGAGTTCTAGTTCCGCCTTAGGCATAAAGCCAAGCAGGTGACCTTGGGCCAGTCACACTCCCTCAGCCCTAGGAAGCAGGCAATGGCAAACCACTTCTGAAAAACCTTGGCAAGAAAACAGCAGGGACTTGTCCAGAGTCAAAACTGACTTGAAGTCAAATAATAATAATAATAATAATAATACAGTAACTGAATCTATTATGGCTACTTGGTCTTTTAAATATATCATGTCATTTTATTTTTAATTATCTTTTTTCAATAATGGAAATTATTTGGAAAATCATTTCAATTTCAAAAGGCACAGGTAATTCACCTCCAGGTTATTACACAAAATGTCATACTGATGCTGTGTTGAAATATACAGTCTGGATAATCTTAAGGAGTACAATAACTAGTAAATAATGTCATTACAAAAATAACATTTCTTCTGAATCAAGAATACAGTGCCCACTTTCTCTATTTCTTTAAATACTATGTCAGATTACCTAAGCAAAGAGACTTGAAACAAGAAGATTGAAAATGTAGCATCTTATAATTACTAGTATTGTATTTATTTAGTTGCGAAGAGAGATCTCTTTGGAGAAGACCCTGATGCTGGGAAAGATTGAAGGCAAAAGGAGAAGAGGACAGCAGAGGATG